CCCGCCGCGGCGTACGCGTCCCTCGCCGCAGCCCTGGCGGGCGCCGACGGCCTCGCCGGCCAGATGGCCGCGCTCAGCGTCAGCGCGGAGGACGCCGCGCGCGCCGCGGAGGCCGCTGCTGCCGCCGCGGCCGCGCCCAGCGCCAACGGGGGCGGGCGCGGCGAAGCGGACGCCCCTCCGCCGCAGCCAGCGCCGCCGGTGGCCCGGCCGTCGTATGGCGCCCCCCCACCGCCGGCCCCTGTGGAGGAGCCCGCGCCACCGGCCTTCCGGCAGCAGCCCAGCAGCGGCGGCGGCGCCTACCAGCAGCAGCAGCCCCCGCCGCCGGCCGCCGCGGCCCCGCCCCCGCCGCAGCCGCCGCAGCAGCCGTCCTATGGCTTCGCCGCCGCCGCCGCCGCGCCCGTCGCCGCAGCTGCCGCCGCCGCCGTCGCGGCCGCCGCGCCTGCTGCTGCGGAGGAGGATGACCTGCTGGGTCTTGGGGATGACGAGTTTGGGTTCGACGAGGCCGAGGTTGCGGGCGCAGGCGTGGGCGGCGGCGCGGGCGGCGGCGGCATCGACCTGGATGATGACTGGGGGCTGGACGGGGAGGACGAGGCGGTGTGATCTGATCTGATCAGATCACACCAGATCCAACCCATTCTGTCCCAGTGATTTCCTGCCTGTTTCCTGCCGGGATGGCTAGCTGTGGGCCCCAGGCTTGTGCGCGGTGTCGGCTGGCTCTCTAGACGGCTCTCCTGCGCTTGGAGCGCGGAGGTCAGCCGCGACTTGGGGACGAGGGGCGGCCGCCCTCATGTGGGGCGGAGGCACGGGGTGCGGCTGCGCGTGCGAGCACGCTATTGTCTGAGGCTGCTCGCTCTCCTGTGTAACCCGCTCCTCTGTGCTTGCATTTACAAGGTCGGGGCCGCGGGGCATGACAGGGAGTGACGCCTCCCGCTGCTGCTGGGGTACACGCACTTGTGCGCGGGACCCACAGGGCCGGCGTTCCACCGAGCCAAACTCTGTGTAGGGAAGGGGCACGCGTGCCGGGTGGCGAGCCTTGCTACCACGTGCTGGCTTGCCGCTAGCTGTGATGGTGGGAATGCAGTGCAGCGGGACCGAGGCTGTGGCCAGGAGGCCCGCTATGGCCACCCCCTTGATTGACCCCGGCAGAGATTGCCGGCCGTGCAGCCATTCAGGGGTAGCCTGGTCGACAGGAAGCGTGGGGTTGCATACGGCAATAAGGCGCTCTGGCAGCGCCCGTCCCACCGCTCATGAGGCTGCAATACGGACAATGAATACAACAGGTGTGACAAGATGGGGCCGGGGTGCAGGGGGCGTATGCGCTCGTGTTGCGTGCAGCGACAAAGAACAAGGTACACGTGACCACTCCAGCACAAGGGTCCTGTGGTGCCCTGGACCCCGTTGCTGCGGCCCGTGCCGCCGATGGGTGGTGCCATCCAGCCGTGTGCTGAGCGTGCTGTGCGGCGTGGCGTGCGTCACGCCACCATGTCGCGGTGCAGGGTGTAGGCCACGGACAGCAGCGCCAGCAGCATCGGCCCCAGCAGAACGCCCTGCGAGCACGCGGCGGCCGCGGCCCCAGCAGTCCCCCGTCAGTCGAGACAGCACGGCGCTCCCACGCGCAGGCCCGCAACCTCAGCGATACGGCCGTGGGCAGATACCAGCCCCTGTGCGCTCTCATTCAACGGATCTAGGGCGTCCCCTGCAGCCTTTCCTTGCCGCTCACACACGCACACACACACACACACACACACACACAAACACGCTGCCTGCGGCGGCCCTCCCCCTTGCCCCCACTCCGCAGCCCTGCCGTGGGTCCCCCCCACCTGCAGTGGGCTCCTGAAGTAGGTCATGCCCCCAAATACGCCGAGTGACAGGATGTAGGGCATGGTGGGCTCGATCTCCCGGTAGATCAGGTCATCACACACCTTGGGGGCCAGGGGGGTGTGGCGTGTGCGTGTGTGTGTGTGTGTGTGTGTGTGTGTGTGTGTGTGTGTGTGCGCGCGTATGGCAATCGACTGCTGATATGTGGGTGTGGCACGCGCTTGTGCCCGTGGCTGGGAGACTTCCACTTGTGTGGGTCTCTGCAGCTGCTTTTGTCTCCCATGCGCGCGACGTGACCCCGGGATCGCGTGATTCCAGGAGGGGAGGGGCCCGGGGTGCTGCCCCACCGTGTAGGCCCCTATGTGGAGCGCCGCCAGCGCCAGGGCCGCCAGGGGCTGGCCCCTCACGAGCACCAGCTCAGCCACCGCCGGCAGCGCCACCGTGGCCACGGGCAGCAGCGGCATCACCGCCGCCACCGCTGACAGCGCGGTGGCCAGGTGCACAAAGTGGGCCACACCAAACATCCGCAGGGTCACCCTGTTACGCCCGCCACGGGGGGGTCCGATGGGGGGCCGATTGGGTGACGTTTGAGCCGCGCCTGGTGCATTGGCAGCCTGGCGGTGCGCAGGCAAGTGTGGCATGCCGCACGCAAGGCGCGTGCTGTTGCAACCAATCCTGCTGTGTTGGCGCTGCACAACCCGTCTGCCTTGTGGGCCGCGCATATATTCACCCGCTGCAGGCAGCTGTGCTGAGGCTGCCAGGGCCGGCGTGGGTCAGCCGCAGCGCTCCAGCCGGCCGCGTCGCCTGCCTCCCTCTCTCTTCCCCTTCCCCCCCCCCTCAAGCCCTCCCGCACCCCCGGCCCACCAGGTGAACCCGGCGTGGAACAGGGACAGCTTAATGGACGACACAAACACACCCCTCAGGGCCCGCGTGACAGCCTTGGACGCGCGCTCCTGTGGGGTGGCGGGGCGGCGCGGGGCCGCAAAGTGGCGGTGGCCCAAGCGCGGCTGCATGAGCGGTTTGCTGCTTAACTGAGGTTGGCATCAGCGGGTCATACTGCAGCCAATCAGCATTCGAACACCGGGAAGCGCAAGCACGCGTGCGTGTGTGCTCACGCATGCATGCACGCGCACGCGTGCGTGCAAGCCCCCTCCCCTCCCCCCCGAAACACACTGTCACCAAGCCAGTCGACCCTAATGCGCCGCCCCACCTGGTTTTGTGGGCTGACTGGCAGCAGGCGTATGACGCGGTCCAGGGGGTCCACGTCCAGGGCCAGCAGCGCGTACAGCACCGAGCCAAACACAGCCACCTTGGGGGGGGGGGGTAAAGGGGAGTGGGGTGATATGCGGAGGATGTGGGCGGTTCACCAGGAAAAGGGATGTGGAGGAAGAAAAAAACAGCAGGGCAGGGGCAGGGTCTGAGCAGGGTTGGTCGGCTGGGGACCGGGGCGGCAGCTTGTCGGCTTATACAGGGTTCGGGCTGGCAGCGTCAGGCCAGCCCGATTATAGATCAATTAGATCAGATCAGGTGGGTCAGATCATGGGTGGCGCACCTGCACGAGGAACTTGACCACCCCCAGCCCCAGCCTCAGCAGGCCCAGGCTCGTCCCCAGCGCCACCGCCGCGCTGCTGCCCACGCCCGCAACCACCACCCCCGTGATGCCGCTGCCTATAGAGCTGGCCACGTTGAGAAGGGGGTACGCCGCGCCGTGCAGCGCAGCCAGCACGCTGCTGCTGTTGGCGGCAGGGACTGCAGCGGCGGCCGCCGCCGCGGCGTCAGGCGC